ACCACTGAGCCACGCCCCCAGCCCCTCACTGGGGGATTCTAGGCAGGGGCTCTACCACTGAGCCACGCCCCCAGCCCCTCACTGGGGGATTTTGATCCCTAGGGGCTCTACTGCTGAGCCAACCATTCAGTTTCCATTTATTTCTAGTTTTAGCTGCCCGTGTGTTTCATGGGCAGCTGTGCACAATCACTTCCCGTATGGATCTTTGAGATCTTGCATCAGGCTCTGGGCTTTGTGTGAATTTCTATTTGCCCCATAAAGTCACTGGTGCATGATGTACCCCTGACTCTTTCGTTTTTGCCAAGGAAGGGGAGATAGCATCTCAGAGTGTCTTTGATTCCCATTCCCCTGATTACTAATGAGACTGGACTGTCTCTGCACAGACCTCATGGTTCTTTGGTTCCTTGTTAATTGCTTCCATGCTTCACCTGGTCCTTAGATTTAAAAAGAGTTAAGCTTTTCTTCCTTCCTTCCTTCCTTCCTTCCTTCCTTTCTTCCTTTCTTTCTTTCTTTCTTTCTTTCTTTCTTTCTTTCTTTCTTTCTTTCTCTTTCTTTCTCCCTCCCTCCCCCTTTCTCCCCTCCCTTCCCTTCTCTTCCTCCCTCCCTCCCTCCCTCCCTCCCTCCCTCCCTCCCTCCCTCCCTTCTTTTCATCTTTCATCTTTCTTCCTGTGGTGTGGGTGTACCCATGACAAGGGTCTTGCCTGTGGAGGTCAGAAGACAACTTGGAGCAGTAGTTTCTAGTTTTCCACCCTGTGGGTTCTGAGGGGTGGATCTAAGGTGATCAGGGTTGGTGTTAAGTAGTTTAACCTCAACCTCTGACCCTTTTCTTTTTCTTTTCCATGTTGGGAGTGGCACTCAGTCTCTCACATGTTAGTCATGTACTTCAACACCTCCAAATTTCAGCATTTGGCTCTCCCTGTATACCGTGTGTGTCTCCCGTCTGTGATCAAGCTCAAATCAATAGTCTTGACAGCAAGTACTTTACCTACTGATTTGTTATTTGATTCCTCCTTTCTTTCTTTTTGAGACAGTGTCTCCCTCTCCCTCTTCCTCTCCCTCTCCCTCTCCCTCCCTCTCTCTCCTCCCCTCTCGTTTTTTCAAGACAGAGTTTCTCTGCATAGCTCTGGCTGTCCTGGAACTCACTATGTAGACCAGGCTGGCATTGAACCTAGAGTTGCCTCGTGCCTCCCAAGTGTTGGTATTTATATAGAAACTTGTATTTTTTTTTCTCGCTAAAAATGGCTCTTTCCAAGTCACATAAATTAAAAAAAATCACTTTAAAAAACTTGAAATAACAGGACGAGGGGCAGAAGACTCAGAAGTTAGCCTCAGATACACAGGGAAACGGAGGCCAGGAGGGGTGCAAAGCCCTGTCTTCAATTCCCAGTTCTGCACATATAATGAGAATGTTAAATAAAAGGAAGACTGAGTCTCATTATCTCGGGGTGGTTCTCTTCTTGTAACCCAAGCATTGACAGGAAATGCACAAGGAGCATTTCTCAGGTGCCTCAAGGAGATTGTTACCAGGAAATCAGCCTTGTAAAAATGAGAAACTTTCTTATGGCTGTCAAGCACTCTGCTCACCCCTGTGGTGTCTTCTGCCCCCACGCGACCGCATCGCGGTACTGCACCCGCCCGGATCTCTAAGGTCTTGTTCTGGCGGTGCTATCGTGCTTCTCCAGGGAGGAAAGCGGAATGGCGCCCCCTGGCGGGGTGCAAGGCAGCATACACTGATATCTTTGTGCTCCCAGAGGATCATCCCTGGTTCTCTGAATGGAGAAACTCCAAGACTGCACACTCGTTCTCCAGCCTGACACTAATGGAGAGAGAGAAGGGACAGGGAGAGAGGCCTGAGGGTGAGGACAGAGGGGTCTCAGTTGAGGAAGCTGAACTGGGGTTCCTCCTACGGTAAATCTACTATCTGACCTGGAAGATAAGACCGTACAGATTCCATCTCCTCCTCCCTCCTTCATTTCGTCCTTGCTTCTCCACATCCGTATCTTCCTACCTTCCCACCGCCCACTTTTGGCAGGTAAACTAAGCCGATTCTAAGTGGGTTCTGAGGTTTTCCCCAGGAGTAGATAGAAAATTGATCTTAGGTATCAGCTATTGGTCTGTGAGGAGGACCTTGTAGCCATACTTGAGCTCAGAGGAGCAGGTACGGGGATCTATGGAAAAGGGTAGTGTGTCATGTGGCAACTGGGTCCCCATGGCAACTGGACTCCCACCCTGTGGCATCTGTGAGGTCACCCTGCCTCTCCTGGCTGGAGGAATGGATGGAGGCCAGACATGGAGGCCGCTCCCCGGGTCAGATCCAGCCTTCTCAGAATTCTGCTGCAGGTTGGGAGGCTGTCTGCGCTGGTAAGCATGGTACGGGTAGGGGACCTGTAGAGATCCAGCTGTTTCCAGCCACCAAGGAATAACCAGCAAACTCCCGAAAGTCCCATCTCCAGAGTAGTGTGGCATGGGTGTCTATCAGCAATCTTTCTTCCTTCCCTTCCCCCCTCCTTTCTTTTCTTTCTCCCCGTGTGTGTGTGTGTGTGTGTGTGTGTGTGTGTGTGTGTTTGAGACAAGGTCCTATTATGTAGCCCTGGTGTCCTGGTACTTACTTATAGACCAGGCTGACCTTGAACTCATAGAGATCTGCCTGCCTCTATCGTCCCTGTGCTGAGACTAAAGACGTACATCATTATACCTGGTCCTTCCTTTCTTTCCCTTAAAAAGATTATATACTCTGTGTGTGTGTGTGTGTGTGTGTGTGTGTGTGTGTGTGTGTGAGTGTGTGTGTATGTTGGGAGTCAGTTCTTGCCTTCCATCATGTGGGTCCTGGGGATCTAACCCAGGTCGTCAGGCTTGGCAGCAAGCGCCTTTACCTGCTGAGCCATCTCATTGGCTTACTGTCCCTTTTCTTTCCCCTTCCCTTCCCCTTCTCCCTTCCCGCTTCCTCCTTTTCTTTCTCTCCCTTCTTCTTTCGAGTGTGCATGTGTGTGTGGTGGGTATGGTATATGCACATGTGTGCAAATGCCTGTGTGCACATGGAGGCCAGACGAGGGCGCTCTCTCTCCCTTGTTTCTTTGATCCTTGAAACTTGGAGCTGATACGTTTGTTAGTTAATTTTATTTTGTCTGACAGCTTTGCAAGCCCCAGAGATCCTCCTGTCTTCAACAATAACTCCAGTACTGGGGTTGCATGTATGCATTGGGCCATGTGTGCTCTGGGCCATACATGCACTGGGCCATACATGCACTGGGCCATGCCTGCTCTGGCTTATTATGTGGATGCTGAGACCAGAACTCTGCTCTAATCCCCATGCTTCAGCAGTAAGCACTCTATTCTCCTCCCCTCTTCCTCCTCCTCCTCCTCCTTCCCTTCTTCCCCCTCCTCTTCCTCTTCCTCTTCCTCTTCTTCCTCTTTCTCCTCTTCCCCTTCCTTCTCCTCCTCCCCTTCACCTCCCCTGCTGTCTTACTATGTGGTCCAGGCTGGCCTCAAACTCACCATGTAGCCCAGGCTAGTTTCAAAACTCACTGTATAGCCCAGGCTGGACTTGAACTCTTGACTCTGCTCAACAGCAGGCATGAGTCCCATGCCTGGCTTCCTATCCTGGTCCTAGGGTATTAGGGGGTTGGTCCAGGTTGATCATCTCTGTCACCTATGGGCTGGAGGCTTCTCTACCTGACAGGCATGCTCGTCATTGAGGAATTCTCAGTTACAACCTTATCCCCCCACCATTAATCCCACTTCCTGTGACTAGAAGACACCCTTGAACAACCTGCCACTCAGATGAGAGACCTGGAAATCTTCTGTCTCTCCTCCTACACTTCTCATAGTAGGTCACTCATTAAAGCTGTCACCCATCTCCCATGTCTCTACATCTCTGTCCCTAATGATGTCTTTATGTCCAGCTTCCCTCATGATGCCAAGAGCAACTAGGGTTCTAGGCAAGCCCAGGTATTTGGGGGAAGTCAGCCAGCCCCGTGTCCGAATCCCACAGACTTAATTAGAGGGGAGGTCATCTTTACTTATTAGTTTTTAATTTTTGTTAATCATTATTGTGTGTGGTGGGTGATTGCTTGCCATAGCGCCTATGTGGAAGTCAGAGTTGGTTCTCTCCTCTCCCCTTTCCATGGGTTCTGGGCTCATACTGAGGTCAGCAGGCTTGTGGGGCAAGAGCTTGAACCAGTGAGCACTCTCTGTTTGTTCTTTTGTTTTGTTTCATGTAGATCAGGCTAGTTTTGAACTTTCTATGTAGACAGAGGACCTTGAACACCAGGTCCTTCTGCTCCTCCCTCCAGACTGCTGAGGTTACAGGCGTGCACCACCTCTCCTGGTTCTAGGAAGAGCTGGGGTTTGAACCCAGGTTTTCGTGCATGTTAGGCAAGCACGCCACAGCTGAGCTCCACCCCCATGCTTAAAGGTTCTTACAGGGCTTCAGAGATGGCTGGCTCAGCAGTTAAGAGCATTGACTGCTCTTTCAGAGGTCCTGAGTTCAATTCCCAGCAACCACATGGTGGCTCACAACCATCTGTAATGCGCTCTGATCTGCGACAGCATGCTCACGTACATTTAAAAAAAAAAATCACTCTTTAAAAAAAAAAGTCTTGGGAGGTAGAAGCAGGCAGATCTTTAAGTTCAAGGCCAGCCTGGTCTATAGATTGAGTTCTGGGACAGCCAGGGCTACACAGAGCAGAAAAAAACGATTATAGGCAGGGCATGGTGGCACATGCCTTTAATCTTAGCACTCAAGAGGTAAAGGCAGGAGGATCTCTGTGAGTTCAAGGCCAGCCTTGTCTACACGGCGATCTCCAGAACAGTCAGGATTAATTACCTTGAGAGACCATGTCTCAAAAGAAACCAAAATCAAATAAATGAATGAAGGAATGAATGAATAAGAGACCAGTGCATCACAAGTAAACTGAGACCAGGCAGCCCCTATCTCTAAAGCACTGGTTGGATTCCACCCCAGGTTGGTGACACTAGTGTACCCATCTATCTTCCTACAGCTGATTCAGAACCGCATATACTTGTACCGCTTTCTGCTCTTGAAGATGGCCGTCTTTCAGCACTGGATGTCGGGGCTGGCCCAGGAAGCCCGAGGTTCCGGCAGTGACCAGGCCCACCTGATTCCAGAAGTCATCATAACCTGCGCTCTGGGCTTGGTCCTTCGAGCTGGACTGGCTTTGCTGTGGTTCCCCGTGTGGCTGCTGCTCTGGGGACCCAGGCTGGCGTACAGAGTCGGGCTGTGCTGTACCCACACTGTGAGGCTGGCCTTGGGGCACCTCTGTGCCTGTGAACCTCTGTGTCTGTCTCCAGCCACCTTCAGGGACTTGTTTCTATCCTGCCTGCATAGCCTCATGCTGGTAGCTTTGCTGATGATGCTTCTAACCTGGAAGCTGGTGCAGAAAGCCCATCACTTTAGTCTGGGCTGGCTGTCCAGCCAGGTGAGTGACAGGGATGCAGGCTGGGGACTCTGGGTGTGGCCACAGCTGGTCAGTACTGTCCATGGAAGGTCCTCTCCTCCCCCTATCTCTCTCAAATTATTCTTATTTTCAAAGTGTGTGTATGTGTGTGTGCAGGTGTCCTCAGAGGTCAGAAGAGGGTATCAGATCCTCTGGATCTGAGCCTGTACCTACATTACCTAGTGTGGATAATAGAGATCAAACTGGAACCCTCTTCGAGGGCAGTACTTGCTCTTAGCCACAAACCCATCTCTATGGCCCTGTACAACATTACTTTTAACTTTTTGTTTTTTTTTTTTTAGACAGGGTCTCTCTAGGAAGCCTTGGCTATCTCAGAACTTGATCTGTAGACCAGGCTGGCCTTGAACTCTTAAAGCTCTGCCTGCCTCTGCCTCTCAAGTGCTCACCAGGCTCATAGAGTGTTACTTAAACAAATTTGCATGTTGCACACAAGTGGGTGTCAGAGAACAATGGGGTTTGTTTCTTTTCTTCCACCATGCCGGGGGCTGGGGCTCAAACTTGACCTGCCCGAGCCATCTGTCCAGTCCTTACCAATGCTCTTGCCTGCCCGGACCCTCCTGCAGAAGTCTGTGTTGCTAGAAGCCCTGTCCCTGCTGAGGCGCCTCTACCTGTGGGTGGAGCACAGGACCACACTCACTTCCTGGAACCTGGCTTATCTTGTCACTTGGATGACCTGCCTTGCTTCTCACCTGCTTCAGGCTGCCTTTGAACACACAGCCCAACTAGCCCAGGCCCAGGAGGCCAAATCACCGGAGACCTCAGGGCCCTCACCTCAGTTCTTAGTTCCAGAATCCTCCACCACTGAGTCTGGACCCCTCCCACCCCAGCCTGAAACCCCCGGAGAATAAATGTGTCCCCAACCTGCCCTTCGGACTCACCATCTCTTTATCTCGCTGGACTGGAAGGCTATTCTGTGTCATGTGTGTATCTGTGTATCTGTGTACCTGTGCTTATGAGCACACCAGGGTGAAATCCCAGGCTCAGCCACTTCTGGGAAGGAAATCACATTCCTCAAGGGCCTCTCAGGTGTCCCGCATCAAGTGCCTCAGACACTTTACACATCGTTTGGTTCGTCTCCTAGCAACCTTAGCATCTGGCCTGACTATCATTTTCCACACAAGAAAACAGGGCCTTGGAGACTGGGCATTTCCAAGGTCATGGAATGTGTCAGAGTCGGCTCAGGTTTCCAGATGGCTTTGTTTCCCAGGCTGCTGAGTCTAAATCTATGACCCTGGTTCTTAGCTCCCCAGGGATTTAGAGGGAGCTGGGCAGTTAGAGACTCTGGCCTCTTGGGGGTGCCAGGACCTCACAGTTTAGAGATGTAGACAAAACTTTGGAGTGGCTCTCTTAAGTCCATTCACCCACACATCGGAATGGGTCTCCATGCTCATCACTGAATTACACACCCGCCAATTGTCTACAGGACCCCTCTCTCCTCCCTCCCTTTCTGCCTCTCCCTCTCTCCACTCTCTCTCCTTCCCTTTCTCATCCCTCCCCCTCTTTCCCTCTCTCCCTCCGTCTCTCCCTGCCGTCCTCCTTCCCTTCTCCCTCTATCCATTCCTCCATCCCCTTCCCTCCATCCCTCTCTTCCTCCTTCCCTCAGTCCCCTCCCTCCCTCATTTCTCCCCCTCTATCATCCATCCCTCCATCCACTCAAAACCCATCCATTTATCCATCCTTCCAAACATCTCAAATTCATCCCTCTATCCTTTTATCCATCCTAAAGTTCAGCTACCCACTCACCACCCACCATCCATCGATCCATCCACCCCCAAATTCATTCTTCCATCCCTTCGCCCCTAATCCATATCTCTATCCCCCAGATGCATCAACCCATCCTGCCCTCCACTCTTTCACAGATCCATTAGTTTGTTCTTTTCTCTTTCCAAAAATGTTACATCACAGACTATCAATCTTCTCCAGCATGAGAAGATTTATCCAGTCTCCTCAGCCTCTCGCTGGCAAAGGCAGGCTCCTTCAGACAAGGCCTAGCCTAGGCTCTGGCCCTGGCCTTAGGTGAGTTCTGCTTATGAAGAAAGAGGAGGGGCTGTGTTCCCAAGAGTCAGCCTCACCTCTCACCCCTTTCCCTGTCTCAAGACCTGGCATCCATGTACCTGTGAGGAGGTTCAGAGAACCTACGTTCCCCCCACCTCACCCTGTTCCTCATCTTCGGGACAGCTAGTGCCTTCCCTATGGCTATAAGCGGTGGAGGCTAGATGTGTCTTCCACGTCCTTCCTCCAAAGACAAGAAGCAACTTACCTGCCTTCGAGAGACCTCATAGTGGGCTCTTTTTGTTCAAGATGGCACCGTTGCTGGAGAGTGTGAAATGATCTACAGGCTCCAGATTAAAGCGCAGCCTCTTCTGGGTTCTAGAGCACCCACGACTTGCCGGCAGAACCTGGGGACCAGACCCACAAAGGTGCTTGAGCTGCCTGGGATCAGGGTAGGGCATCTAGACAGCAGCAGAACGAAAAACAGGTGGAGAGGAGTTCAAAGCCCAAGAAGGGAGAGGAAGGTGACAAAGGTCTGAGCAGGGGCACATAGTGTAAGCAGGGCGGGGCTGGGGACTGGGTGGAATCAGCCCTGACATTGAACTGAGGTGAGATTGTCTATGTGACACTGGCAATTGTTTTTTTTTTTTTTTTTAGTTCCCGCCCCCAAGTGGCATGAGTTCATTATGTGTGTACACGTGCAGACAAGCAGGGACTTGTGGTGGCAAGAGGGTGACCTGGGTGTCCTCTCTCTTACTTTCCACCTCTCTCACTGCATCTGAAGGTCACTGATTTTGCCAGACCGGTTGGCCATCTATATCTCCAGACCTCCGTTTTTATTGTTGTTGTTTGTTTTTCGAGAAGACGTATCCCTGGCAGGTCTGGAACCCACAGTGTAGACAGAGACCTGCCTGCCTCAGCCTCCTCAGCGCTGAGATTAAAGGCATGCACCATCACTCTGGGCTCTTTTTACTTTGAGATAAAGTCACACCAATTGGCCCATGCTGGCCCTGAAACTGGAGTCCTTTCTCATTATCTCAAATATCTGGGATAACTGGCCTATCCCACCAAGTCTGGCTCTGGAAGCCCCTTCAGGAAGCAATCAGCCTGGGGAGTTGAACAAGCCTAACTGGGGGTTTGGGAGAGGGGTGGCCCTTCTTGGATTGGGCCTGGAAGACAGTTGCTTGGATCCTATGACTCTCTGCTCTTGCCTTCTTCCCATGAGGCCTTGGAGGAGGCTCTTGAGCTGGTCTCAGCCTCAGTTTCCCCGTGTTGCTCTCAAATGCCCCATTTGGTAGCTAGCCTACCTGTGGACTGGTTAGGTAGGTCTCTTGTATACAGCCCTGGCCACTGGACCTTCACATAAGCTGCATGGAGCCTGCTGACCCCTGGGGTCCCTGGCCCCAGGACATTGTATTTGCTTTAGAGACTTGGAATTAAATACCCCAGCCTTTTAAAGACCCTGGTGGCCTGGGGCCAGGATTTGGGAGAAAGGATTAGAGTATCCTTCCTGTTGCTGCTCTGCATCCCCCCCCCCCGTATCCCTCCCCACCCCAGCTCATTGACTTACTATTGTCCAAGCTGAACATCCAGCCATCTTTTGTGTCTGTGTGCAAAAGATTCTCACAGCTGGCCTGGTTCACTGCTGGCGTTCCCTCATAGCCGGGAGGGCTGGGAAGGCTCATCGGATCCTCTCACCTGATCCTCCAGCCATCCCTTCCCGCCATTTGAGTGCAGACCTGCCCTAACAGCACATGGCTTCAGGAGGACTGGGGTACACAGTTTGGGGACGGCTAGGGGAAGGGGTAGGGTACCAGCTCTATGGCCACAAGGGGATCATGCTGCATGCAGACCTTCCAGGGTAGCTGCTTTGGATTGCTCACCCATTCTTGTGAGCCCATAATCCTTCACTCAAACTGTGTAGGAAAACCTAATACACTTATTAGTTCTCTGGGAGGAACTTTGGTTTGTCAGTGGAACCTTGGGAAGAGGGGAAGAGATGTTGCTACTCCTCCACAGAAGGGATTTTAGCAACACACATTGGTGTGTGAGTGTAGGTGTGTGAACCACAGCACATGTATAGAGGACACTCTCTGGTGTGGGTCCTTGGCTTCTGCCTCACTTCACACAGACTCATGCTCCCCACTTTAGTTGGTCAAGAGATTCTCACGTCCCCACCATGTCTCATCCCAGGAGCCATTCCACCCAACTGTATGTGGGTTCTGGAGATTTGAACTCAGGTCCTCATGTTTTTTTTTTTTAAACGTATTTTTACTTTTTTTTTTTTTTTTTTTTTGGTTTTTTGAGACAGGGTTTCTCTGTGTAGCTCTGGCTGTCCTGGAACTCATTCTGTAGACCAGGCTGGCCTCGAACTCAGAAATCCGCCAGCCTCTGCCTCCCAAGTGCTGGGATTAAAGGCGTGCGCCACCACTGCCCGGCAGGTCCTCATGTTTTTGTGGCAAGCACTTTATCCATTGAGCCATATCCTCGGCCCTTCAGCTGCCCCATAACAGTGCACAGAGCAGAGGCTCCGGAGTGAGGCCATCTTGGATTGGAACCTTAGCTCTGGAGTCTGAAGTCTAGACAACCTTGGCTGTGTGAAATGGCTCTGCAAAGCTAACTCTGCAGGCCTCAGTTTCCCCATTTATGATCAGCTACAGCACCCCAGGCTTCACAGGGCTGTTGTGTAGTCTGTGCTTGTGTCACGATGATGCTCTCAGCTGGCCCAGCTGGCCCTGGCTATCTCTTCTAGACTCCCTGACTTCCCAGGGGCCACAGCCTGATAGGGATTCCGAGGCCCTACGGCCGAGGGTCACCAGCTCATCTTTCTCAGGCCTGAGAGTGTGGAGTGGTCTCTGGTTTGCTGGAAGAAAGCAAAAGGGGAACGGTGAAGAAAGGGGGGAGGCCCCGGGCGGGGGGAGCAGGCTGGAGGGCTGGCCGGCAGCTCCACGCAATCTGTCTGCTATGCAGCCTCGGCCCGGCCTGTATTTATTTATGCTGCGTATATATTTATACCAACCGCTTTCTCGTTATTACTACAGGAAACAGCTAGAATTGTTACATACCTGGCGGCCTAGGGGTCTCGCTCAGCCAAGACACACAGGGCCCTTGGCTGTCTCGCCGTGATTGCGAGAGGGCCCCCCATCTCCAGACTCTGGCCCTTCACTGACCTTGCTAGCACCGGCTCCCAACTTTCTCTTCTCTCTGGGGCCATAGCTTGGTGGAGGGATGTTTAAGTTTCTCCTAGTGTCCCTGGTCCTCACCCCATCTGACCCCAAATAAGGCAATGATTTCAGAAGTTATACAGACGGCCGACTAGAGATGACACCCTAGGCTGAACAATAGATTCTTTTTGGGCTGGGTGGGGGATAAGTGACCAAGGCCCCCCAATTTAGGGATGGAATCCTGGCTATTCTGGTGTAAGCGTGGGGCTGGGCTCTCCAGAGATTAGCTTCCTACCAGGCCTACACAAGCCTGGGTAACTTTCCACCTGTGACTGTCCCCCACCCTCAGCCCATGAGAACACTCCCCACCATATCTCCTCTAGGCTTGGCAGAAGTTGGGGTCTCAGCTGTGGACTGTCTCCCCCCACCCCCGGGCCCTCATGCTCCACTCAGAACTGCCAGCCCCTCTCTGGCCCCAGCTCTGGGCTTGGCCCCAGGTAGGGCTTGCCAGAGCTGAGAGGCCTGGCCCCCTCCCCAGAGCTCCGGCCTGACACAACCTGTTAGAACTTCACGCCTCAGCCTGAAGGCTCCCTGGCTAGACTCTCCACCCCAAGCTACAAGATGCTGACCTGTTGTCTCTAGCAGGTTGTAGAGAGGCCCCTGTATGCCCTATAGCTTCCACTTCAGATTTTTTCCTCAGCAGGACTTA